GGGGTAGATGACAAAATCTTTCTGACACACAAGCCTTAATTTTCATGACTTGGACAGAGGTATATAATACATGTAATGTTTTTTCATGCCACACAAGCCCTAATTTTCTGGACTTGGACAGGGGTAGATAATAATGTCTTTCTGTCACACAAGCCTTAATTTTCTTGACTTGGACTGGGGTAGACAATAATGTCTTTCTGCCACACAAGCCCTAATTTTCTTGACTTGGACTTGGGTAGACAATAATGTCTTTCTGCCACACAAGCCCTAATTTTCTTGACTTGGACAGTGGTACAGGTATATAATACATGTAATGTTTTTATGCCACACAAGCCTTAATTTTCTTGACTTGGACAGGGGTAGATAATAATGTCTTTCTGCCACACAAGCCTTAATTTTCATGACTTGGACAGGGGTAGATAATAATGTCTTTCTGCCACACAAGCCTTAATTTTCATGACTTGGACAGGGGTAGACACTAGACAATAATGTCTTTCTGCCACACAAGCCTCAATTTTCACGACTTAGGCGGATAAATGATGTGTTTTTGCGGGACACAAGCCTTACTTTTCCTGACTTGGATAGAGGTAGACAATAATGTCTTTTGGGCATGCAAGCCTTAATTTTAATTTTAGAAACCAATCTGAACACATATTGTATTAAAAAACACACAAGATGCATTTTCATTTAGTTTTAGACAAACACACAAGAAGTTGGGAATTAAGACACACAAGTAGTCTTTAGAAGGAAAAAATGAAAAGACACACAAGATACCCCTTTTTCTAGACACACAAGACAAAAATCTCACAAGCATACTGTCGTGAGTAGTTCCGTACGTCCGTCCGTCCGTCCGTACGTCCCGTTCTCGTGATCGCGTTATCTGAAGAACCGATTGATGGATTCCTGCCAAACTTTGGTCATGTATGTTACTTGCAGAGCCGATGAACTGATTAGATTTTGGGGTCACGAGGTCAAAGGTCAAAGGTCACAGGGCTCATTATGTATGCAAAAACAGCTCGTGATCGCGTTATCTGAAGAACCGATTGATGGATTCCTGCCAAACTTTGGTCTTGTATGTATCTTGCAGAGCCGATGAACTGATTAGATTTTGGGGTCACAAGGTCAAAGGTCACAGGTCACAGGGCTCATTAGGTATGCAAAAAGAGCTCGTGATCGCATTATCTCAAGAACCGATCGATGGATTCCTGCCAAACTTTGGTCATGTATGTATCTTGCAGAGCCGATGAACTGAATAGATTTTGGGGTCACGAGGTCAAAGGTCAAAGGTCACAGGGCTCATTATGTATGCAAAAATAGCTTGTGATCGCATTCTCATTAGAACAGATTGATGGATTCCTGCCAAATTTCGATCATGTATGTATCTTGCAGAGCCAATGAACTGAGTAGATTCATGGGTCATGAGGTCATGAGGTCAAAGGTCATGGGCTCATTATGTATCCAAAAATAACTTGTGAACGCATTCTCATTAGAACTGACAGATGGATTACTATTTAACTCAGGACATCTTGCAGAGCCAATGAACTGAGTAGATTTTAGGGTCATCAGGTCAAAGATCAAAGGGTCATATATGTATATGAGAAATTGCTTGTAATCACGATATTCTGAGAACCTCTTAATGGATTACAATTGAACTTGAATTTGAAAAATTTCTTCTGTTTTAGTTTGTAAAATTGCTCTATGACGGAGGCATCATTTTCGACTGCGCGCAGTCGAAGTTCCATCTAGTTTTTTTAAAGTCCGGAAGAAAAACATGTTATTTGGCCTTACATACTATTTACCTGAGATACCTGACATTATATGTGTATTCACCTGTAGGGTTCTTGCCTCTGGGTAGTGCAGAACACTCTAAAAGGGTTTTATCAGAAGAAGAACATGAGAGGAGCAGGTCAGTGAAAGTTTGAGAAAAATCCCAAATATAAAAAATAAGTTATGATTTTCTAACATTGTCATCAGTGAAACACAAGTTGGCAACACTGACGTATCTTGCAAAGTCCTCTCTAATTTGCTCAATACAATAATTTTGTATTTAAACTGTCATTTTCTTACTTATTGATGACGGAATAGATTTGTCTCATACAGGTGATGTATAGAAACATATTTGCAACAATTATATTTAGGGTGTATGTATGTTCAAAAATCTTCTGTAGGAAAAATAGAAATTTCAGATTTTTTTTTTACTACGGTTCAAATGGGAGGGAACCTCGCCAGATACGTCATAGAATTCCTAATTTAACTTGTGAAGTTGATGCTGATGTACCAAGCATGCATACCTGCCAACTACTACGATTTTGGCGTAATTATTAAGATTTTTTTATTCAAATTCGCCTTACGATTTTTATGCCTCCGTTTCGAAGTAGCCGGAGGCATTATGTTTTCTGGTTGTCCGTCCGTCCGTCCGTACGTCCCGTTCTCGTGATCGCGTTATCTGAAGAACCGATTGATGGATTCCTGCCAAACTTTGGTCATGTATGTATCTTGCAGAGCCGATGAACTGATTAGATTTTGGGGTCACGAGGTCAAAGGTCAAAGGTCACAGGGCTCATTATGTATGCAAAAACAGCTCGTGATCGCGTTATCCAAAGAACCGATCGATGGATTCCTGCCAAACTTTGGTCATGTATGTATCTTGCAGAGCCGATGAACTGAGTAGATTTTGGGGTCACGAGGTCAATGGTCAAAGGTCACAGGGCTCATTATGTATGCAAAAACAGCTCATATGATCGCGTTATCCGAAGAACCGATCGATGGATTCCTGCCAAACTTTGGTCATGTATGTATCTTGCAGAGCCGATGAACTGAATAGATTTTGGGGTCACGAGGTCAAGGTCAAAGGTCATGCGGCTCATTATGTATGCAAAAATAGCTTGTGATCGCATTATCATTAGAACAGATTGATGGATTCCTGCCAAACTTAGATCATGTATGCATCTTGCAGAGCCAATGAACTGAGTAGATTCATTGGTCATGAGGTCAAAGGTCATGGGCTCATTATGTATGCAAAAATAGCTTGTGAACACATTCTCATTAGAACTGACAGATGGATTACTATTTAACCCTGGACATCTTGCAGAGCCAATGAACTGAGTAGATGTTAGGGTCATGAGGTCAAAGATCAAAGGGTCATATATGTATATGAGAAATTGCTTGTAATCACAATATTCTGAGAACCTGTTAATGGATTACAATTGAACTTGAATTTGAAAAATTTCTTCTGTTTTGGTTTGTAAATTGCTCTATGACGGAGGCATCATTTCGACTGCGCGCAGTCGAAGTTCCATCTAGTTTGTCATAAAATTAAGATTTTAACTTTTTTTAATTTTTTTTTTTTTTTTTTTTTTTTTTTTGCCCGTTTACCTGGCACCGTCCAGGCCGACGCTTAAGTGTGCCCGGGAGAGCACCGGCATGGTACCAAGAGTAAAAAAAAGTTTCACAGCTCAATCACTGTCAACTCTCCACTCAGAAAGTGGGACCAAATGTCCAGATTTCTGTTTAGACTCTGAGGAAAATTAGTCTGTCATCTTTGGTTTTAAAAACAGCATTGCTTACTATTATTATTATTATTATTAAATCAGCGCCTTCAACTGCAACTCAAAGTAAAATCGCTTGAGTTTTCGGTGACGGACCTGGGATACTTCTACCGTAGTATGGTGGTGTCAACAACAAAAAAATCGAGTATTCGAGTACCTCATAACACGCTTAAATGCACAGCCCTTTATTTTTCTCCTCCAGGTTCTATTTCATCAGGGGAGTTTTGAGCTTTTAGTCCTTGTTTTTTAAAATATTTTTTATGGGGGAGGAGGTTGCATAAGTGTTGAAAAATGAGTTTAAAGTGAAGGGAAAACGCATTCCTACCTGTTGAAAATACCAAAAGCTCCCTACCGTGGGAGGGGGACAGCCCTCTCCCACACCCACCCCCGCTCGGTCGCTTCGCTCCTTCGTTCTGTTGCTCTGCTCCGTCACAGTCCTTGTAAAAAATGATTACTATTTTTAGTCTTCAAAGGTTGGCAGGTATGAGCGTGGGGAGTTTCAGAAAAAATATGGGCATTGCAAGAATACTAAAGTGAGGATTTCTGCATGTAACAGAAAACCCAAATTACGTATTCTTTTATCAATATTTGTCTTCAAACACATTTTTGGGGAGGAAATCTTTGCAGAAGTTTTTCTTAAATGACATCCTCTTTCACATAATATGATACAATTTAAGTGAAATTTTGCCATCAAATTTTTTGAGAATTTGGGGCTCCTAACACTTTAGATAGGCTTTAAAGGTAATACAAAGTTTTGGGAAGTTTTGAAATTGGGTGGATAATGATTATTTACAATTTTGACATAATTGGATACCCCTGTGGTTGTATTATAAGCACTAGAAAATTTAGCCCCTGAAACACTTGAAATTGAATATACAAATTTACCAGTGCTCCCGGTAAATTTTGATGAATTTCAAATACTCGCCTACGGCTGTACAATGGCAGCTGCGACCATGAAAATCTCAGAATATGTAGTTGTGATATATAATTTCCAAACGGAAATAGCTAATCGGTCGATTTTAGTCAAGAAACATTGTTTTATAGCTTAATTAATATCTTGACCTTGAGAGGGAGCTTTACAACATGAAGAGTTTATTATTTACAATTTCATAACTTTAGACTTGATTTCAAAAGCGACAACGATCACTGAATATTATAGGATCGCATATGCTTCCAATATGTTCATTTGAACCAAATTCATGCCAAAACTTTGTATTACCTTTAAGTCTTTACTGCGTTTGGTTGACCAACAGAACAAGCAGGGTATTGTTATTGTCGAGTTTAGCGTAACGTGTACATGTATGAGACACTCTAAACAGTGTAGCCCTCAAGGGGTTAATTCCATTGTGAATAAAGAGTTATAAACTACTGGATATCACCTTTAATAAATGAATATAACTTCTAATATTTCATTTTTGTTTTACCTTCGACCTTTCACGTCTCACATAACAGGTCCGAGTGAACATCATCTTCTGAAGTGTGCGCCTGCTGTCGGTACATGGTAAGGGGACAATCATTTGGGGGGTTTTAGATAAAAGCCTGTCTCATAGGCACAAAGTGTCCTCTACCAAAAGAAGAGGGGTAATGCCTTTGCAACCAATGGGTAAAGGGGCTAGTTTACATAATTTGGCTAGTTTATTTTCATGGAGAGGAAGAAAGCCCAATTTATTTGATAATGAACTGTCAAACATTTCAGTGCCACTTCGGTCTCAGCTGCCATCATGTTTATTTTGTATCTTTGGGGCAAAGAAAAGGTTATATTTCATTTTGTATTGTGAGTTCATAAATTTTGAAGGCAAGTATCAAGGAACAATGTTTGTATCATTATAAAGAATGAAAATGTGTCTCCTGAAATTGATGTTTGCCATCTTGATTGCACCAAAAGGGTTAACCGCAATTGTGGCTATAACTAATTGATTGCATACAACCTGCTGTTTTGATGTTTTGAATTTACTTTGATTTTGTTTCTCTTTTTATTATCTTAAATTACAAAATGATTTTGATAGCTTGTTTACACATTCTCCTTCCAAATGTCCTTGTTTACCCCCCCCCCCCCCCTCTCTCTCTCTCTCTCCCTCCCTCCCTCTCTTTCTATCACGTTCTAGTCAGGTGATGTGTTTCCATCCTTGGTCAGATGTCACCCTCCCTCTCATGTCATTGGAGGAAATCAGGGTTGTGATTGACAAGTGGGCGGAGCTTATCACAGACTTTGGTGCTAAATACAAATGGGTTCAGGTATGCATAGTTTTCACATTTTTTTGTTCTTCAGATTTCGAACCATATGCATGAATATACTTTTTAAAATCAAATATTTCTATTTAGATTCTTTGTTTCAGTGTCAGATTTGGCATATCATGTACTGGTACATGCATGCCAGCTTCACATTCAGAAAGACAGAACTGCATGGAGCTATTCTTGGGGGTTTGTCACTGTTGTACTTTCGTTTTGTAGAAGATAAAATATTCCATTCATCTAATTTTTAGTTTTGAAATTCTCATGTCTCATTAACCATCCATGATGCTCATTTTGTAAAATGCTTTAAACTTCAGGACTAGTGATTCAATCTTCCTTGATTTTGATTCCCCAACCATCTCTCCTACATTTCTTTTTCTATTCTCCTCTCTGCCACTGTCCCACTTTTTCTCTCCGTCCCCCCCCCCCCCTCTCTCTCTCTTTCTCTCCCCCTCACCCTCTCGCTCTCTCTCTCTCTCTCTCTCTCTCTCTCTCTATCTCTCCCTCCCTCCCTCTCTCCCTCGCTCTCTCCCTCTCATCTCTCTCTTTTTAACTCTCTCTCTCTCTCTCTCTCTCTCTCTGTCTATCTCTCCTGCTTTATTTTGTATACAGATCTTTGAAAACAAAGGAGCTGTGATGGGATGTTCCAATCCTCATCCTCATTGTCAGGTAAGAAGATCAATTGTAATTCTCATAATCAGAAAGCTTCAATTGATTTCACTTAAAAATGTGCTGGTCACCATGTAAAGACAATGAAAGATGTACTTTTGTTGTCTGATGCTCAAATAGATCTATGGTGTCCGGTCTACATATCTTTGGGTTACAGTTTCTTATAGTTTAATAGCTCAATGTCTTTTCCATCGATTGTAGCAAAGTTGTGGAACCAGCTACCTAGTATTGTGAAGACTGCCTCATCTGCTGACCAATTCAAGAAACTCCTAAAGTCCCATTTAGTGTGTCAGAGGACATCAGATTGTATTGATTCACTTTGTACAGTTTCACAAAGCCTTTTTCCAATGACTAAAAGCTTATAACAAAAAACTGTCACTTGTCACTGATGACAAGTTTTGTGAAATGCTGGTCTTTTTTTCTCTCCAAGTATTATGTTGGGCAACATGTGCATTGCTTGAAACTTTGTAACAAAAAAGTGCTATATCAAACACCATTTGGATCAGATTGGATTGGATTGTAGCGTGATGGAGACTTGCCTGCCACCATGCAAACAAAAACAATGTTCTTGTTTATTGTTATGCATGGACATTCTGTGTTTATTTTGTATTGTGTGAGGCTTACTCGGTATTTAATTTAATAATAATAATAATAGCTCGTCGTTATAGCGCTTTACAGATATATATTATTACCCTGGTCATCAATGTATGCACATTCTCCACTCCCTGGGGAGCATTCCAGCCAGGGGTCATTTTCCAGAGTGACAAATGTAGATCAATGTCTTGTCAAAGGACATTAGTGCCGCGGCGCGACTTAAACCGTGGACCTTGTGATCCACAGTCCGGTGGCATATCCACTCGACCACGACTCTCTCTTTTCCAATGTATTCATGCTGGTTTTTTTTGTTTCTCCAGATGTGGGCAAGCAACTTCATGCCCAACGAGCCCAGGATGAAGGAGGTCCATCAGAGAGAGTATCTGAAGGAACACGGTACACCGCTGCTGCTGGATTATGTCAAATTAGAAGCAGAGAAGAAGGTAAGACAGAAATGAGGTTTGCATCAACTGCTTCATGTACACATGTATTCCTTCTGCATCCAGATAAATTCCCTAGGGACTAAAAACTTCTTGACAACTCCGTCTAAAATATCCCCCCCCCCCTCCCATTATATCTACCTCCCAGGATGAATATATCTGTATAAAGTGTTTTGAGGCATTGTTTATGTATTGAGCACTAAATAACCCAGAAAGAGTGTCGTGGTCGAGTGGTTTAAGGCGCTTGACTGGAGATGCGAAGGTCGAGGGTTCGAATCCCGACACGGCACTTATATCCTTCGGGAAGATATTAACGTGCACTCGCTACTCTCCACCCAGGTGTCAAATGGGTACCCGGTAGGATGCGGCCGTCATTGTTGGTCAAACAGTTTTTGAGCGTCAAGTAACGCCTGGCTGGAATGCTCCCCAGGGAATGGAGATTGTGCACACAGTGTGTGTGGGCAAGCACTGAATCCAATGACCAGGGTAATAGTATATTTGTTAAGCGCTTAGAGACATTTTTATTAAGCGCTATATAAAAATTAAATATTATTATTATTTATATTAATGTTATTATTATTGTTATTTTTATTATTGTCCCCTTTCAAGTAGTTGGGTAGTGTATGTTTATTCTGCTCATTAGGTAATTGTCTTTAAAAAACCCACAAAAATATTATGTTTCACAATTAGCTTTGGTTTGTTGAAATATATGTTGACTTTGACTGTTCAATACTAATTAAGTTTAGAAGAAGAAAAATAATCCTATTATTGCATCTATTTTATCATTTTCAGGAGAGGATAGTAGTAGAGAATAAAACATGGATTGCCGTAGTACCCTACTGGGCCACATGGCCGTATGAGACCATGCTGTTACCACGACGACATGTTCTCCGACTCCCGGACCTGACCGACGAGGAGAGAAATGGTATGTTAATCCTCTGCCTATCGGGAACTGGATGGCTCTTGTATAAAAGCCTATGGGAATGAAGGAACTCAGTTGTCAATGGGATATGGGATAAGTGCTTGTTTATTATGAAAATAAATGATTCTAGGAAGTCAGAAAGAGCTAGGGTCTTCAGCCTTATTGGGGAGATAGATTCACTGAAATTTAAAGAAAATCTTTTAAAAATGTCAAAGTTTGATGTATCACTGTTCTTATGTTCATTGTATATGATCGTTTGTTTGTGTCTCCTTAAATCAAGATTAATGTATCTTGATCTTCGGAGTAGTTGCTACAACCGGCCGTGTCAGACACGTTGCCCCGGGGTGCGAGATAGGACGCTTGTAGGAGATTGATTGTACATGATGAGAATGTATGGATCAAGTTTCTTTCTCTTTTCCCCAATTATTTTTTGCATTGCTTTAACTCAACTTTTACTTTCACACTGTACCTACTTTTGTGTGTCTGGACAGGTTGCTTAACCATCTGGCAATTTCAAATAGTGAATATAGAGAAATTGCCTAGAATTATTTTCTAAAGATTTTAAGAATTATGTTGGGCAGTATAATAAAGGACAAATATTCATGATGGTTAGTGATGTTTGATGAATATTTTTGTATAATCAAAAGGCAAAATAGAAGGCTTTATTTTTGTTTAGTGCCCGGATACACCCCCCCCCCCCCTCCCCCATCATACTCAAAATACATCATGTATGCTAAGAAATTGTCTGTAATTTGACATAGACCACATGTACATTATAGTTTTTATGCAAAACTACTTCAATACTGTTCCAGATGATTGTCTGCTGCTCTTGAAATGATTTGTATTTATATGAATATTTCTCTTCATTCATTTTATTTTTTATCAGATCTGGCTGACATCACAAAGCATCTCCTCATCAAGTATGACAATCTCTTTGAGACCAACTTTCCTTACTCTATGGGATGGCATGGTAAGCTCAGAAATCAGAAGTTATGATGCAGTCCATCGAGCATTTGAAATCTTAACCAATGTTCTTGTATTAGATGACCCCAAAATATAGAGGTTGTGTGTGTTTGTAATTGGGATTTTACAGACGTGTAAATCCAGGATTTTGTTACCAAGTCACTTAAACGATCCATGTGTAACTTGACCATGTGATTTTTAAATTAAAATATGTACATGTATGAAAAGGACAATTTGATAATCCACGTTTGAATGCAAATGTTCACAACTGCATAACTACCTTTAACATTTATGCAGGTGCCCCAACTGGGGAGGATATGGGTAAAGACAACAGCCACTGGCAGCTCCATGCTCTGTACTTCCCCCCTCTGTTACGATCAGCCACAGTCAAGAAGTTCATGGTGGGATACGAGATGTTAGCCCTAGCACAGAGGGATCTCACAGCCGAGCAGGTACATCTTCACTCTCTGATTGGATTGGATTTGATTTAATTTTTGTTCCACCTGTATTTCTGTAATATTGTTAATACAGTCAAACCTGACTATAGCAACTGCCCAAGGGAAACACAAAAAGTGGTCTTTGTAGACAAGTTCCTTTAGTACATGTTTCAATGAGAAACCATTTTCAAGGGAAACAAAAAAATGTGGTCTTTGTAGACAGGTGGTCACTAAAGCAGGTTTGACTGTATAAGTTTAGTATTTTCAAGGTTTGTTTCTTTAGATGATATGGGGCAAAGGGCCACTGTACTGATTTTGGGACGCCTATCTATATCTAAAAGATTGCATGTAATGCTTCATGATGTCACAATGCCAGTTTGAGTGCTAGGAAACTACAGTAGAAAACTTGATTTAATTTACATGTACAATGTATGTTAATATCAAATATTTCATGTGTTTTACTGTTACCCCAGGTAATACAATACATGCATTTTCATCCTCTTCTGTTCACAATGGACATACTCAAAAATGTAGAATTTGTGTGTGTTGGAATGTATTTGTGATTGTTGATTCCTAATTTTTTAATTTTCTTTTGAATATCTGTTTTGTACTTAATTTTATACATGTTATTATTCTCAAAATATTTTTTTTGTTGGATACTACCGTAATTAACGGTGTATTAACCACACTTTTTTTGCCGCCGAAAAAAATTCAAAGTCGGGGGTGCGTCTTAAAAGTTTCAATTTATGCCCCTCCACCTGGCGCTATGCCTGGCAATGTCTCCCAGCTCAGTAATCGGTGTGTTGACTCACCACTTGGAAACTAGAACAACACTCAAATTTGTCTGTCATCTTGGTTTGAAAGTAATCTTTCTGATAGATCTCAATATGTAGTTTATAATAATAATTTCTCCAATTTTTCTTCTATTACATGGTGTACCACAAGGTTCTGTCCTAGGTCCTCTACTGTTTTTTAATTTACATTAATAATCTTACACATTCAGCTGCACCTCGAAGTTAAATGAAAGGCCTTCCCGCGTAGGTTTTTTAACATGGACCTGGCTTGCTGCCGACAGAGTCGGCAAAAAAAAAAGGGCAAAAAAGTGGGGTGCGGTTAATATACCAGGGCGGTTTATACACCGTTAATTACGGTAGATTCATTTCCCATTCTCATCTACTAGACATAATGCATGCATCAATCGTTCAGTTTATTTAAATCTTGGTGTTAATTGTTTATTTTCTGTTTTCTGTTCTGTTTTTCTCTTTTCTGATACTACAGGCAGCTGAGAAGTTACGAGCTCTTCCCGATGTCCATTACAAGCTAAAGGACAAACCAGTCAACAACTCTGACCAATGAAAGAAGCCAAAGGAATTTGTGTCCACATTATAATGTCAGCCGGCGGGTATCTTTCATATATGGTATTACAATACAGCTGCAGTATTCAAGATGTACAACTAACTATCTTGTTATTGTTTTCAATTGCATTTGCAAATGACACTACAAGAAAATGTATACATTAATCACATTGGAAATAATGTATGTATCAAAGGTGTATAACATTGAACAAATTTCTTTGGTTGATTTTGATGAAACAAGTTGTAATTTGATGTATTACTGAAATCATTGTGTTTGATTTACTTATCATAAATTTCTTATGAAATTGTAAAAAGTTTTATTTTCATAAAAAGAGGTAAAGAGGCTGTTCTCAGTCTTACACTTGCTGACTTTAAGTGAGTGTAACATATATTGATGTGATGTACGAGGACATTAACTGCACTAACGATGGTTTTGTGCAACAGGCCTCTGGACTTTTTGCTCGTGAATCTGGGTGCAAGATGAGCAACTACAGTGAAGTTGAGAAGGAGGAAGAGGAAGATAAGGAGGATAATTATGATGATGATGATGATGATGATGATGATGGTGGTGGTGGTGAGTGCATACAATTATGCGATTGCTTTAAGAAATTATCATGTTGTACCACTACCAATATTCTATGATTACCTTAAATTTACCTTAAATTTACCTTAAATTTACCTTAAATTTACCTTAAATTTACCTTAAATTTACCTTAAATTTACATCGTCCATTTGCAATATGAGTAATGCTGCAATGATAAGTATTTTGTGAAGAAAAGCGTAATGGAAATGTACTAAATTGGATGTCTTTGAAATGAATATCTCTTCATATATACTGGTGGCTAGTTAGTTAGTAAATATGTATGTTTCAAAACACCTAGATTTTGAATCTAAGGAGACGGCAGGGTAAAGCGATTCTGATAAAGATTATGATGTAGCAAGTTACATATATACTATTCAAGTGCAGTGGGCTGAAGCAAGAATATTTTACACAAAACCTGCCATGTTGCTGTTATATGTTTTAACAAAATATCTTTGAAAGCAATAAACTGGTACTCCTAACTCATTCTGTACAGTCAACTCATGGAAAGCCAGGTCAAGATTTGGCGCTGATTTTATACATATTAGCAGTACACATTGTTTGGGTGGGCAATTGATCCTTTTCTGTGCTAATGAAGCAGGTTCTTTCATTAAGAATTTTAGCCTTAAGTATTGCTGTTTAAGTTACAATTTTCTCATTTGTGCATGAAGCATGCTTGGCTTTTCTTTTTCTTCTTCTAATTTGGTGCTATAGGATTTTTTTTAGTTATTTGTTAATTTTTATTCATTTGGTATATTGTGAGCAACATTGCATGTCCGTAAAATGTTGTGCAACATGTTAGAATTTGCTGAACTTTGATTTTTTAAATTTTTTTTTGTCTTGGGTTATCTCATAGGGAGATTCTTCAAATTTCTTATTTTGCCCCTCCCCCCCCCCCCCCCCCCCCCAAAAAATAAGATATTAAATTGCTGCTGTAGTATTCGTGTTAAATTTTATCGAGTTTATCTGTATGTTTTTCTCAATAACACTTAAATAGCTGATGTGACTTTTGTATGGTTTTTTTCACAAAAACATAAAAAACCTAGATGCTGACATAGATTATATTTCTCGTCCAAGTGTGCATAAATGTGTGCTCTTTATAGCTAGTATTCAAATAAAGTGAATTCTTTTGTTTCGCTTTATATTCAAAGTACCGGTATAATGTAACCCTGTCTAATAAAAATGATATATATGAGAAGTTTTTTATGTAGACACTATATTTTGTGGGAAAATAATGATACAAAAATGTGTCAAGTGTGAACTGTTTAAAGCTTTGCTTACACAGTGTATTGTGTGCACAAATGCAGTCAAGATGTAGAGCCTAAGTGAGAAATCATTAGTTCTTTGTGTTACGAATCTTGACTATTGTTAATCGCAGTCATGATCATGTATACGCATGTGCATTGGTTCTGTTGGTGAATTGGAGATTTAATAAACCACCGCGTGGTCATGAGTAAAACCTAGTTGTTTTTCGTTAATATTTTGCTGTATTTGTGTGTTCAACTGTGTTTATGTGAGATAAGAGGGAATTGGTCGAACATGTTGAATCCCCTCATCATATTTCTTTGTGGGTAGACAAACGTGTAACATTAGGCCTGTCTTCATCAGCTCGAGTTTGCCAAATAACCCGCTATTTTAACTATCCCGATCTCAAATTAGCCAGTTTATTAGCGTCATCATCTGCCCGCAGTTGCAATTAGCAGGATATTTGGTAGAGAAATGTTGGTCTTGTTTCCAATATATCCCGCTATTTGGGAAATAACGGGCTAATTTGCGCCTGTCCGAGCTAGTTTGGGATGAGCGTATGGGTCTGTAGAAGACGCAATTTCGAACTTCGGGATAATATCCAGAGTCTGGAAAATAGTGGGTTATTTGGCAAACTCGAGCTAATGAGGACAAGCCTATTGGGTATGTGTAGTGGTACAAGGCCTAGTCAACATGACCTTGGAGTAGATTAGCTGTTAGCTTAACAAGAGAATGGACTTGTTCTTCTAATTATGTACAACTTAATTGCAGTGTGTTATTCCTTGAACTGATGTGATCAGCATATTTGTTTATTCTGGTGAGTTGTGAGGTGACCTTGTTTTTGTAAAGTAGTCCATGTCGATGGCTGTATTGAAGGTATATGATTGGAAACAAATGCAACTTAAAGGACCACTGCACTACTTGTAGCTACTTGCGCCCTCTATATAACAAACAATGCCTAATCGGTGACCATTGGTCCCCCATGATCCTCTTTTTCTTATGTTAACTGAGAGCTGAGTTGATGAGATAACCACCTGTCCAGTGACCTTGCAGGGCGGTCTAATCCCTCCTGTAAACTATGGCAGATAAGCTTTAAAGGTATTTGTTAATTTAGAAGAAAAAAAACTTATCAATGAATTGTCCTCAGTGCCACCCCTCCCCTCCCTCAATCCAAGGTTGCCTGCCCTCTTTTCAAGGTGCCCCTAGTTCTAGTGGCACCCCCCCCCCCCTACCTCCAGGCGAAAAAGTCTAATTTATAGCCTGGTTTTACAGAAGTTGTTCATTACCTGAAAGAATAGTTCAATATATTGCGCATAACTTTGCAATTTATGACTTACAATTTGTGTCCAAGTGGGTGTGTTGTGAACATGTAATTGAATATGATGTAAAATTATGTAGATGTATCAAGAACAACTCAAAGAATGAACTTGTTGATTTTATAGAGATATTTTTAATCATAATCTTACAGACATTTATATGAATTATTATTATTTTCTTACTACGTGTGTATTTCTTTTTCGATCATATTTATGGGATTGTTTTAAGTTTTATTTTTTCATATCATAGGAAAAAATTATGACATTGAAAAAGGGTACTTGTAAATCAACCTACTTAAAGACTTCTGCACACTCATTTCTTTGTTTACTTATCCTTGTTCTTTGTTATTGCATGTAGCTGCACTGCAAACAGGCAACTAACTGCATTGTGTAAATTTAGAACAGTGTTTTATGCAGTGTCGGTGTGTATTTTTCAGCTTTTGTAATAGTACTACCAAAGAAATACAAAATACCAGTCACTGTCAGTAATCAGGGATAATATACAGAGATCCATTTTGAAAACAAACATATGTATTTTAGTACATTTGCTGGTACTGCTAGCAAGTGTAGTTGATATTTTGTTAATGGAGATACTACATATGTATTATTTTTTTTTTTATAGGACTTCAGACTAGTGTTTACAAACATTTTGCTCCTTCTGGCATTTCCCTGTTGTTTTTACAGATATACTTTAAAAGGATAATTACAATTCAGATGTGTAATTTGGATTCGATGTAAGAAAATTGTGAAATATGCCACATCAAGATATTTACCAAATCATTTTTACAAGTGAATCTAATAAACACTACCATGTGGAAGAAGAACATCATTATTTTTTTTTAAAGTATTATTGATGGAACCCCTTCATTTTATGTTTACCATGATGCATATATGTCTCGATGGGAAGGCAGTCACACTGAATAGGGGCTTCAAAACAAACAAAAAGTGAGATTGCTTGTCAAACTGCATGGGTGTGCAGTTTTAAGGTGCTTGTGGAACAACAGTTTTGGTGTAATATTTGTATTAAAGATAAATTTGCGATCAACTCTGAATCGTTGTCCACTGTGTTTCGTTCTCGACATGGATGGTCCTTTCTTGGTTTTCTTGCAAACCAATTGTTTACACATTCACATGGCAATATTTATGGGGAAGATCTAGTCATAAAAAAGCGTGAGATTCAAACTCCATCATCTCTCAGATAGACACAAAGAATGAAATCTGTGAAGACATTCATACATTTCGACAACAATTTACAGATTTATTATTAAATACTTGAAAAGTCCTGCATTACAAAGTGACTCCGATTCTCATCTTGATTACATCGTATCATAGACATATTAAAAGATGCCACATTGCTGATATTTATATTCTCTTCATTCGATTGCAAATGAGCACTTTGGCATGAGTCAAGTGACTGAGTGATACACAAGTACATCTACTTATCAAAACAAAAGTATGGTGTTTAGATGGTATTTTTAGAGGGATGTAAATATACTTCATGCCCAATACCTACATAATTATTAGACAACCTTAACCTCCTATCTAACAAAGTATGCAACATAAAAATATGTTTAAAAATGCATTACTCATAGCACTTTATATCCCCTCTTCGTCTCCCATTTTATTCTCCAGTCTGTGCCTTGATGCTCATAAACAGGGGGGTGTTTCACAAAGCCTTTTTTCAATGAAAAAATCTGCTAATAACCAATCAGAAGCAAGAATTTCAGTAACTTATAACAAAAACTGTTATTTGTCACTGATGACAAGTTTTGTGAAATGCCCCCCAGACTAATTTGCATCTGGTTTACTCAAAGCTATATCATATTGCTGAATTACTGGTAGAAAAATATGACCGAGAATCAGGGGGACAACAATGAGACAATTCCCCAAAAGTACAACGCAATTGCTTGAAAATTGTAACATATGAATCGTGGTTACTCCAAATGGCATATGTACGAATGTTGCCATTTTGACATGTTGGCTGATTCCAAAGTGTCAGAGAGACACAAATACACAAATTTTCAACGCAAGAACATGTTTACAAGAAAGCGTAGATATATGTAATGAAGATGGATGATACAGTGTATTTCAATGGGAACTATTCAAAAAATATCTTCATCAGAAAAAAATTTCATTGGTATTAGCGGATCATACCCTTATTTTTTTGCAAGTTGTGATTTAATTTAGCTCCTGCAATGAATTGACATGAAACTTCGATGTCGCCCCTTTACAAAAGATTAAAAAAAGAGAAGTTCAACAAAACTAAGGGTAAAATAGAAATACCATCTAGCAATGAGACATATCTAATGGCTATTGCAAGATAATCCAGTGCTTAACCCCTGTGTGATGTAATCTCTCGCGCAAACTTGTTTCATTGCTGAAAAAAGGTGTACTTGTGTTTCTCTATTATCATGGATTCACTCTATAAACAAAACAATACCTAACATGACCATCATCTACAAAGGCTTCTCTGTGCAGTGTGCACGTTATAGAAATTTGGAAATTAGAAAAGTACATATAAATTGATGGAGTGACAATGGAAATACAATAGGCAGTTAAGAAACATGTATAGAAAGCAAAGTGACAAAGAACCTATATTACATGTATATGGTGTTCAGTGAAAAAAGGGTGGTCAAACAGAAGATTAGTCCGCAAACAAAAGTTATACCAACACATTCCCGTTCGTTTCCTTCCTAAACTCCATAGTTTTATTAAAGCTGAATGTATACATGCAACAGCAGAGGGGGAGAGTTTTGCATGGTTACTGTCCAACTGTAAACATGTATGTAGACGCATCTCTTGCAACTTCTGTGAGAGTTTGAGATACCAGTATGCCAAAGTTTCATGCTGGAAAATATTTGATCAACAACATGGCCAATCGTAAGCTGTTTTTTCAATTCTTGAACATTTCTAGCTGTCGCAAATGCTTCAGTTTTTACAGTGTCTGCGTTTTCGCCAGTTCAAACATGTTCATAATTGCACGAGTACTTTATTTGCATCCTTTTTAACATTTATGACTTTGTGATAAAAATATCGGTCAATAAGGGACCCCCTCGGGAAGACAGGACAATGAATATCTACTCAGAATCGATTCGAAATCTACTTCAGTTTAGGCACAGCTTCTTCGGAGCAAACTTTGTTATTAAAGTCCACACTTATTTCTTTTTCATCTGCAAAATTAGGACGTTGCTTTTTTTTTGGGGGGGGGTTACTTCTTTTCTTTGCTTTCTGATGAAACCTCATCAAAACACAACATCTAGCACTCATCGGACAAAATCACATTCTCTCCTGACACACACGTGTACAATACAGTACATAACATCAAAATTGAAATAATGCACAAACTTAGAACATGTATCCACTACCTGGATTAACGGGTAACATTAAAACCTCCAAATTGGAGGAGAAGAGCAGACGTTGTGTTTTGGTGAACACATCTGCTAAATATATGTGAGAAATCCTAAGACCAAAAGAGAAGAACCTGATACAAAACTAGAAACCTACAGTAGTTGAAATCCTTCCCAATTAACCCCCCCCCCCCCCTATTTTGACAAATGTAAAAACTGTCTCTACTCTCTTTCAATCCAAAAAATTATAAAGATATAGAGAATCTGAATTTCTTTGAGGGTTATCATTATTTTTTTTTGCAAAAACCAGCTTTGGCTGATTATACCAAGCACTGTTCCAAGTAATTAATAATAAACAAATTAGTAATAATTAGTAATTAATAATAACAACTTCTAATTATCACCCATCTGTCCTAAACATCCTCACAGAATTTCATGATGACAAAAAGAGGACATAACAGCGAATGCTTACTGTCCACTTATACATTCCTTTTGCTTGTACCAGTGTGAAAACATTCATACAAAATCTAGACGTTAAAAAGGTATAAATAAAACATTAAAAGTTGTTCCATACAATCGACACATAATTCATATTAAAAAACGAGAGAAATAAAATAGGATATACGGTTACACACACGCACATAGTGATACATTTGAATTATAACCATGATCACATATCTAAAACCATAATCTATATCAGTTTGCCAACCTTTGTACATTCTCTCCCATCAATAAAATTAGTAACAATATTTTTTTTCTTCACGACATTGACAATACTTTTCATTTTCCACCTTGTCCGATATCCACCAATCCTTTAAAATAAAAAGATATTCAAGCTGGACGAGAACTTCAGAAGATAAATGACGGCGAAATAGAAGCATTTAAGTGCTCTCCATGGTGCATCGTTCCAAATCTCAGTGTCCCGTCATCCTCAGCAGGTCACGTTTCTTGCGAATTAAAATCTCCTCTCCTCAAAACGAGACAGAAGGCTGAAACAACCATGCATTATCGGTCGCACCACTGTGCAAGGGTGATAACTTGATGGAGATGATGTGTCAAATCACAAAAACACGCTATACCAAGTGAGGTGCTGAAATCTGGCTACGAGACAAAATGTTAGTAAAATGGCTGTTGTATCTTCTGGAAATCGTTCTTGTACAACATCAATCCAGAAGAATAAAACGTAACAATCCTATCAAAAGTACTTATGGCTTCTCTATCTTGCTCTGTAAGCTCAGAAAAGTATGGCTCATCTTTTGCACCTGTTTCGACAAAAACAAATATGATTTTGATTTTTAAAAACAGAAGGAAAATAGGAAGCAATCCTGCTATTTGTAATATATTTAATACACAGCTAAACAGGTGGTGAAAACTTGCGTTCTTTCAAGTTGATCAAAAAGCACATAATATGGTTTCTTTTTCTATCTACAAACGGCTATATCCACACAAAAATGGCTTCTTGTAAAATGGCAGTAAAAGAGATAAACACTTTGTAGAGTATTTGCAAGATGATCATCCTTTTAGGGTTTACATTTTTCTCTTTTTTTTTGTTGTCGTTAATGCAGGATAATAAGTGTTTTTCTTGAGAAAAAATGACATCATGTACAGTTGTATAACAGTTCATCGGAGTAGAGTTCTTGTCACGACTCTCCATTGCCTGAATCATCTTCGTCGTCATAGTAACACTCGTCATCATCATCATCGTCATCGTCCTCCACGCCGTAGTCGCCGTCATCATAGAAGTCTGCCAGGTCTACCGAGCTTTGAGACTGTGGGGTTTCCTTTGTCTTGATGCAGTACTCCTCCAGAGTTTTTGGCACGATAACCTCGTCTTTCTGCGCATCCAATTCGGTTCCTTTTACTTGTTTTCTAGTGAGAAAAAAAAATTAAAAATTTGTAAAGATCAACTTTTTCAATTGATAAGACTTTGCAGACTAATTATAGTCATAGGGTTTTATTTCCTGAAGGAAAAGAACTCTCAAGAAACTTTTAATATTGACTTTGGCAAAAATCAAATGCTTGTTTGTTATGAAGGCAGAGACTACAGCTCTCAAAATTGAGATTTTGACTGCAAAGCAAAAGAGGCACTAGTATTTTTATTTTTTAAATCCGTTTTCATAAAATGATCCATGGCGTCAAATAAATTTATTCCGTTTCACTAGCTTGATGGTGTCACTGTAATTTATCACTAGCTAGATGTTAAACAAATTTGATCTCTGTCCAAAAGCATGTCACTCAAGCCATTCCCAACAAATGCAACTTGTATGTGAGGCAAGTGACTAGGTTTCCCCCATATTTAACAAAAATCATTGACTCGTGTTATTCTGTACATGTACATACTGGAGTGATTCATTTTTTCCTGAATTCTTGGCAAAGATCATCATTCCACATTTCCCACAACAGCGTATCAAATTTACTCATAATTATCCCCCAAAGTACCCTGTACATGAATAATGGACCACAAGCACACATGCATGAACATGTATAACAACAGCGCAAAATGTGACCTACAATGTACATGTACATTGAATGCTGACATGTACATGTACATTGAATGCTGACATGTACATGTACATTGAATGCTGACATGTACAACATTGAATGCCGACATGTACATACATGTATGTGACATGTCATCGAAAGATCTCATTTCCTGGCATAAGGAAGCATATAACCTTGGCTCACTGCAAAAGGACACTATTAAGGCATGTACTATCAATGGCATTTATTTCATTTTAACAGTGAGGCAAAGATTAACCTTCACCATTTGAACCGACTTTGAAAGAAAAAAACATCATATACCAAGAAATTATACCAATTGAAATACAGGCTCAAATCAATACTTTTGAGAATATCATATTATTAATCATTATCATGTGTTCCAAATATTCAAGAATATAACCTGTTTTGTGTACACGTTTGCCATACCAGATGAACAGAGCCAATAAATTGTCTGCTGAGACTCAGAAATGCATTAACCCCTATACATGTACATAGACTTGGAACCTTTTGGCCCTCAAGAGAACTGTTACTATGAAATGCACGAAGCACACATATTTTTGTTTTGATGACTGTTGCCAAGGAGATTAAATTAGTCAGCAAAATGGGGCTTTTTAAAGTCCGAGACACACTATAAATTCATTTCCTGCAAACTTTTGCCAAGACTTTTTCCAACCTGTAGACATGTATATTCATAATACTTGTAGAAGCCGGTCTTTGAGGATCACTTTTAATACTGTTTTCCTTCTAATAGTAAATGGTGTCACATCAGAAATAATAGCAATGAAGTCATAGACCCACTTTCATTGTTTCCCATAGTTTGCCTTTATTGACAAATTTAAATGGTTCAACAATTCCAAGACTCATTTAAAGAGTTCTTTGTTGTATTTCTTTTTTACTTTCAAAGATTCAAAGATTCTTTCAAATCAGCCAGTACCACATGACACCTGTGTATAAGGACGATGTCTACCATTTCCCTTGATGGCCTTTATAGACAGGTTTGACTGTAGACTACCACAATCTGAAACTCCAAATATCTTTACTTTCCCTGCTAATGAGACTTACTTGATGAGGTCCTCGTATTCCTTATTCTTTCCTTTTGAGTCTTTCCATCGTCTGTACATGACGGAGGCATCCACGTTGGCAGGGGAGTATGTGTTGGGTTCATTGAGTAGTGAGATCACGCTCAGTAAGATAGTTCTGGGAAAGAGAGAGACAAAATGGAGCAATCGTAAGTTCAAGGAAAACAAATTAAAAAACAAGTTCATGCATTAATCAGTAGGATATTTATGGGAAAGAGAGACACAGAAGGAAGTCAAAATAGACTAAATGATTGAATTCATGTGTTGGGTTCATTGTGCAGTGAAATCACGCTCAGTGAGATCACGCTCAGTAAGAGAGAGAGAGAGAGAGAGAGAGAGAGAGAGAAAGGAAAAAAAAAGGAGATCCAATTGCAAGTTCAATGAAAACAAATTCATGATGTGTTTTTTTAAAGTTCTATTTTACACGTACTGTAAGAATTACAACTACACATTAATGTACACTGTTTGCGTAGAAAACTAGTTCATTAATACAGTGCAATGAACATTTATAAAGGAATTCTTGGACAATAGTGTACATGGAATGTGAATATAGAGTGAGAATGTGGAATAATTACAAACTGAAGTGTTTTGATCAGTTATTGGAACAATTAAGGGAGGAAAAAGGCAACATACTGTACATGTACATGTACATTGCAGCATACACTGTACATGTACATTACATGCAGGGCCATAAAGTTTATGCCATAATTCTACTGCACTGATCCATGAACATTTCAGTACATACATGTACATTGTACATTGTTCATACATTGTACAAAGCTTACAGTTCAACATTTTGTGCACATCACGATCATAAACCTCAAATTAAAAATTGGGAATTCCCCAGAGGTCAAATGTACATTGTACAACAATATACATGTACGCTTTATTTCCTGCCCTTGCATCATTACTATTATCATTCATTTTTGTTTTTAATTTCTTTGCTCACTGTCAAATATAGATATACAGTATGTGCGGTTTCCTGACAAACGCAATCTAATTATTTCCTTTTCACGCATATAGTCTTCATGTACTGGAACAATGTAATATGACCACATGAAACATCTAAAAACAGATTACATGAATACTGTATTTGTGGTCACCATTTTTCTGTCCTTTCTTTCTTCATTGTTTTGCCACCATAGTGTAATCCTACAGAGGTCATGAAAGGTCATACCGTAGCCACATGTAATTCTGACATCCTACTGAGTAATACAGTGGGTGTGACACACAGTATAATGAGAATGACTGTGATATTAATGCCTGTGAAAACTCAATACTTGTGACTAGGCAATCACTTTACATCATTATCCCGGTATGCTCTTACATGTACTGTACATGTACATTAAATGTTCATTACGTGTACATGTACATTTATGTAATTTACTACAAAGTACCGTAACATACACTATAGTGCTAGCAGCCACTCTCAAGGGAAATAAGTAATTGACATGTCATGGGACATACATTACATGTACATGTATGGTGAACATTGAACAGCTACATGTAATTATGTGGGCCTACATACTGTATGGGTGCCTCTTAGTCTCAAGCATATTTGTACATGTACATGTATGTTTACATATTCTAGGCCTTTTAAAAGCTTTTTCTTCTCTGTTGGCTTAGTGCCATCAAGATGCTTAGTTACAGAAAACAAACCCCAAGATGATGACCTTTCAATGTGGAAGATTTTCTGAAAATTTGTGAAGGCCTTTATGAACTTAGATACATTGTACACACAGTCAAATCTGCTTTAGTGACCAACTGACTACAAAGACCACATTTTTTGTTTCCCTTGAAAATGGTTTCTCATTGAAACATGTACTAAAAGAACCCGTCTACAAGACCACTTTTTGTGTTTCCCTTTGGCAGTCACTATAGACAAGTTATAGACTGTACCGGTAAATGTAAAAAGCCAGCTCATGGGCAGATCCAAGATACTCGGGAAGGGAGCATAAAATGAATCCCAAAATTCTCTGATAAATCTATATGTACACTGTATGTACATGTACAAGTTTTACAATAATATGCCTTGTACAAGTATGTACTTGTGCAAGAACATTGTAGGCCTACTTGATGTCTAAATGATGTACACGTCTCCTCGCTAAATACCAATTTCAATGAAAATAGAAACCATATACCCAATTCCTCGTAAAGGGAAATTCCCTTCCAGTGCTCCAGAAAATGTAGACTTCCTTGAGTTGAATAATGTGTTCTTTCCTACTGTATGATAGAATTTGATCCTCATGAACTTTCAACAGAAGACATGGGCCATCAATCTCTCAACCAATTTCGTCCTACTAAAATCGAAAGCACATACAATTTCACCACAGAGAGGACAGCGATGTCACAAATTAATATGGCTAGTGCTCTTCTAATTTTTCATTTTTACACCATTCCATAATTCCTCTTTCAGGATACATGTACGATTGATGGAGATGTTTATATCCTGATCTTTAATACAGAGAAGGTCGAGTTTTGTTTGGTATAGGAGTCAATTAATCATTAATATCATGTAATGGATTTTTCCAAATTTGCGTACACGAATCAAAATCAGGACAAGTCATTGGTTAATGTCTTCGCAAGGTTAAAAGAGACATCCGCGTGAGCATCAAAGGAAAGTGCTAGTTTCTGTGCATTTGGAATTTTTAACTAACATCATTTTCCCTAACAAAAAGAAAACATCATTTTCAGAATATGGCCCCTTGTCAAAAGCAAAATCATGAGTTGTCCATGTAACATTTTCACATGTCACTTTAATCGTATTATGCCAGCAGAATAGACAAGAAAGGAATAAAAAAAAAGATGAAAATAAAGCAAAAGTGATGAATTAGCTGATTTATTCTGCCGATCAGCAGCTTCCAAATACCTGACATTCTGTGTAGGATTCCATCTCTCCGAAGGCAGCTCTCCGCTCTGTTCATCAGCCACAGGGGGATGCAGGATTGATATACAAACGTCACCACTATTCTGTAATCCCATAAAGAAAATGAAATAAACAGAAATCATTGCATTACTGCACTGTAAATCACAATGCTTGGGGGGGGGGGGGAGGGGAATGTCCCCCTTCTACCTCCAATCAAATGTCACCATTCTTCATTCAGTAATATAATGCCTGATCGTAGATCTTGAATTTATACATGTTGCTGTCTAGGATAAAATTAATTCCCCTTTTTTCATCCAGATTTATAAGTTGAGGAAGAGAGTGGTTTTCACTTGATATGTTCTTTGATAATACCAACTGTTAGCCACAATACATCTAAATCATTTCATCATACATGCATTTGACATTTTCAGTCAATCCTGGGTCTAAAATACTACCTCTTACTGTAATAAATGAATGAGAATGACTTTACATGAGCGCTGCTATATTATATTTTTTTTTCACTGAAGACAAAATGAACATATCATAAATTAACAAGTGCAAGTACCTAAAATGCAAAGTATAAGTAGGCCGCCACATACATGTATATAAATATATTTTCAGTATGTGTTTACATGTACTTCAAATTCTCAGTGTCTTTGTCTATTTTTGTAATGTTGGCAAAATACCAGTGTGTTTGGCAGATGAAATGAACGAGCCTACGTTATTTGTTTGTTTTCAAAATGTCCATCGCTCCATCATAACAGACCTCTTGAATTTTGAGCAGGAAATCTGGTCTTTGGCTCATGATCAAATTCATTTTCAAAAGTACATGGAATTCGTAGGCCTGAACAAATGTACATGTCAAGTACATGTACATGTGTATGAACTGAGTTTTTTTTTAAATTCACACATTCATGTAAATGTACAGTGTACATGTACATGTACATGTCGTCCTTGTTTTCACGAAGTGACGGTAGTGAGGAAAATCGTAACGCAAAGTGAATGCAATTTTTTTTCACTACCGTCACTTCGTGAAAACAGCGACGATGTATATCAAATTGTGGCGGGTACTATTTATGAACATACTGTAATGTAGTTCAGGAATATGTACATGTACTGTAAATGTACATGTATTATGCAAGCTACATTAAATGAGCAATGTAACTACAGAATTTGATGTTGGCTGCAAATGGGACAGTATACTGTAGTACTCATTCACTAGTCTCTAACTGAAGAAGTTTGATTACTGTAGTTTAAATTATCCACACAATAAACATGTACGGTATACAAATACAGTGTATGGTTTTGTTCTTGAAAAGGAAATCAAAGATATGTTGCCAACTTGCCCATTCATGTAGGGGACTTCAAAACTTCATAACACTTTTACTTTTCTTTGAATTCTTTCTCGTTTCTTTGATTTATCAGCTTAAAGGTACACTGTACTATGTCCCTTTTGCAGCCAACCTCAAATTCTGTAGAACTTTGCAGGAATTATGAATATGTCATGTATGTCCTATCTGTGAAATTTAAACGTTAGCAGTGTCCTCATATTCAAATTATGCAAGGAAACCCGTTTACTTGCTAGACTTCACCATCAGACACTATTAAGTGATTGACTGGCTTTTTTTCTTCTTTGGTAATAACATACATGAAAAGAGTTGTAAAGGGAACATGAGCATTTGTCTACATCAATAACCCACTTCTTGTGATGGCCAAGATTAAACTGATTGAATCTTTGCGCATCATAAAATGTATGACCATTCGGTACAATTGTCTGAAAATCAAGACTATTAATTTTGGGCTCTATAGCCCTAAAGTCGATTTGACAACTAATAGTCGTTATTTTCCCACTTGAAGACATTTTCAAGCCCCACTTTTTTTAGGGAAGTTCTAAATTAGTATTATCTTTCAAATGCAGTTGGAATTTAACTTTTTCATTTTTTTGGCCTGCAAATGGGACATAGTACCTTTAAAAAGAAATCAAAGTAAAATTTATGTCAGTATGCATGTATTCCCCTTTCATTGTTTCATCTTGTGACTATAAAATCTACACGTACATGTAGTATGCAGTACCGGTATACTGTCACAGAATATTATTGGAAGGAAACCAAAAGATTGTAGTATCGTACCTGTCAGGCTCAAAAAAGTCTATCCACGGGCAGGATCATTAATTGGCATGTTTACAGGAGGAAACTTGTGAATTCATTCAGCTAACAGTGCAAACGCTGCAGGGTCCCACTATAGCAACATGTCAACTTGCAACAGTGTTGACACAGCTTCCTGGCACATTATAGGCTAAAACCAGGCGGACATACCCCCTGTCCACACACAACATTTTCCGTGACTAATCATGATTAGCTATACCGTTTCACGATAGTGATACCGTTTCGCGATAGTTTTACGACCAAAATTGTAGGTGTGGACGCTCACTAACGATACGTCGTATAACGAAACTAGTCTAACGAAACGCAGGTTTGGGCATCGTTTCGAACTGAAACTCAATAAAGAATCACGCCTAATCACGGAAATGTTGTGTGTGGACAGGGGGACCCCCTGGGGGAGTGTAACTAGTGTAACTAACTGGGCGGGGCTTAACGTGACCTCGAGCGAAATGAGACCAGACCTCTTATCACTATCGCGAAACTCTATAAAGAATCACGGAAAATGTTGTGTGTGGACAGGGGGCATTTTATACGATGATTCTTTAGTGACGACGTTTCTTGTGTGTGGACATCCTGGAATTTATACGATGATTCTTTATACGACGTATCGTTATAGAGTTTCGCGATAAATTGTTTTGTGTGTGGACACGCTGATAGTATACATGTAATGAAGGCCTACATGTGCATGTACAGTGTAAACCATTGTTCATAGTAAATTACATGCACACTGACACAACATCTCATATGAACTACATACACCTTGTAGGAATTAATTATCGCCAATCTTCCAAGGGGCTTTAGAAAAATGATACAATTCATACTTAAGAACTGCTGGCTTTGTTTTTTGGAAGTGTCTGCAATTTATTTTGAGTTTTTTGAGCAAATTATCTTAAAATAACTCAGAATCAATGTGCAGTTTGGGATATGAATTAGGACCAACATACATGTACCTGTACTGCATACAGTGTACATGTTTTTAATCATTCTTTGGAGAAAAAATTCTTCCAAATGGTAGAAACATCTTACAAATTATCTCCTTTGCAGTCTAATTTATTTTGTGTAAAAAATCAAATTCTATCGATAGTCGATACCCAATATTTTCAAGGGCAAACAGAACTGATCAATGAACACAGAGTGTTTTCATGCTATAGATCTAGGCTACATCTTTTTTTTTTAATAGGGACTGCCGAATATCATCTGGACTTGAGAAAGAAAGGAAAAAGAGGGGGGCGGGGGGGGGGGGGGGACATGTCTTTTGCTAAACTGATGGTACATGCACATGTACAGTATGTGATCTCTGATTTTGCATTTTCCAGATGAAGGCTTCATATTTTTGCACATTCACATACAGGTACACTGTACATGGAGAGTCAACAATTACAAGTACAAGTCTGTATATGTTTCATGTCAAGTCATGTAAAGTGCTGGTACACATTGTCGAACAGGAAACAAATTATGTGCTGCCATCAACCCCACCTGATAAAATAACCACTGTCCTGATAAAAAAAAATCCAGACATTTACAGTACACTGTGTCAACAACATATGTACATTATCTACATGTAACCATAGTGTTAACAATATGATTTTCTGAACAATTATATTGTACGTACAACATGTATTTGTACTACTTTCTCTAGCATTTATTTACCGCAGTAAAATCAATTTTACAGGGGGTCAAGGCTATAATCAATGGTTACAAGACGTGAGTATTCTTCCCCCAAGCTCTTCACAGGTAGGTGGGTGGTGAGACAGTGATTAGTAATACTGCTTCTTCAATCATTTCAATGATTCATACTGTACCACCGCTTGGATGCAGAGTATGAAACCTGGCAGTCAATGTACAAAGTCTACTCCAAAAGTGACTCAGCCCATACTCGAGCTGATTCCTGCGATGACTGAAACCTTTCAATATTTTACCAACTGGAATAACTGGTAAGGCCTATATTTGGACATACACTGTACATGTTGTCAGTATGAGGTACATGTAACTAGAGCCTAGAGGGTTTCTCATTTTCTTGTTTAGACATTGCATTACAAAAATTATCCTTATTATATTTCCAAAGATTTCATTGGCTTCAATTACTTTTGTTTCTTTAAAGGGATCCGGTAACTTTGTCTCAGATTCTGAAACAAAATTCTGGATTTAGCTCATGATGCAATGATAATTATAAACCTTTAGGTCAGTCAGGAACCCCATGACTTTTACATGTACAAGCCAATCGCCTGTCTGATTATCAAGTGATTTATGATTGGAATTACAAATTTTGAAAACCGTTCGCCTGACGGTTTTCATAACACTACAGTCTATAGGGGAAAACGAGTATGGTAAAACCGGTCACTCAAAGGTTTTTACTTTTTTGAGGCACTTCTTGATCATTTTGAAGCGCAATTTTTTTAGGGCTTCAATATTACACCATATCACAGACACTGATAACACGTAGGGCCGTGTATCTTATATTTAACATTGTTAAATGATCCCTTTAAGATGCATACAAAATATACTACATGTAGTCTAGTAAAAAATAAAAAGAGCAAACATTTCTGCAAGTACTCTGTTAGAATTAAATATTGCATTTGAAAGTACACATGTCATGAACATGTACTTGTATGTACATACACAATACACATTGAAACAAAAATTGTTACACGACTGTAAGAAAAAGTGTGTCTTTTAATAAGGCTCTCTTAAAATCATAAAGGGAAGGGCAGAGAATTCCACAGAGCTGGAGCCCAAGCCACAAAGGATTGGTCTCCATCTTGCATATTAGCAGGATGTACTGCAAGGAGGTGTTGTGATGAAGATCGAAGTGTACATATTGGATTGTGCTTACGAATTAGATCTGACATATAAGATGGAGCAAGATTATTCTGTGTTTTAAAACACATGATAAAAATCTTGAATACAGTACAACACGTTTTTTTCTATGGGCAACCACATAG